TTTTTTTTTGTTTCTTGACGCGACATCCCACTTGAGCCTACAACACCCCTCCCCAACTTTTTTTTTTTTTGGCCGACCCCTTATTTTCGGGGTGCGCCGCACCCCGTGCGCGCGCGTCGTGCGCGGTGCGGCGCACGTGGGGGATGCCGCGCACCTCGATGCGCCGCAAGTATATACAAGTTATCTTTCCGGTCTGATACAGCTGTAATGACGGTGCGCTGTGTTTTGGGGAAGATGGTAATTGTGAATGGCACTGAATGCATTCAGTTAAAGAAGTGAAAAAGTGAATGAAATTTGCATTCACTGCCGTCTTCCCCCGGATAAAACACCAGGTCATTATATCCGCATTTAGTGCACCTTTCAGTCTAGACACAGCGATTATCACCATACGTTCTATTCGGGGGAAGATGGTACTACTGAAGCACATTCACTTTCGCTTTCATCAGTAATTTACTAATTTCTTTATTAAATTATTACTAATTTGTAGTCAGTAATACCGTCTTCACTCGAATGGAATCATGATCACTGTATTTAGACTGATAGTTCTCCCAAATACGGCTATAATGACCGGGCATTCTATTCATTCACCCGGTAGCCACAATTCAGTAAAAGTGAAAGCGAATGCATTCACTTTTTGAGTTCTGATTTTTTTGACTGTAAAAGTGAATTCAATTCAATTCATGAATTTGTATTGACAAAAAAAAAAAAAAAAAAAAAAAAAAAGACTCATGTGGTCAACCATGTGACTCATCATGACGACGATGATGATTTGTGAGAAATTGTGACTCAAAATTTGTGAGAGGTTTGTTCACAACCAGTTATGATAATCAATTTCTAGTTTCATTCAATTAATTTAATTTAATATTTAATTTATTTATGTTATATAATTTATTATTATTTATTATATTTTTTTAAAGGAAACTTGGAAGTAGGATATTCTGTCACCCAGAAAGCACGCACGGTTTCAGCCTTCAGGTACTATACCCTCCTCCTTTTTTTTTCTTCTTCTTTTTTTTTTTTGCGAGGTTTACCCTCCATTTACGAGGCTCCGCAGGCCTAATTTTTAAACCAGATGTCATTACAGTAACTTTAGTGAATGGTGTGATCGGGCATGCTGTATGGTGGTTCTTTTTTGGGGGATGGGAGGGGGAGGGGGAGGGGGAGGTGGGTGTGCAGGCTGCAGAAATGTCAGAGACAGGAGTTGCAGGTCAGTCCTCCAATCTGCTCAAGTTCCTTAATGCTCTCGTGTTGAAAGAGCCCCTTTCGGAGATTCCAGGAGAGCTTCTGAATACGAAAGGCCGCACTCTCATCGAGATTGTCGAGTTTGTAAGCGGGAAGTCAGTTCCTGGCAAGGTATGTGTTTACTGTTAAGTTTTAACTTTTGTTAAGTGTTTACTGTTAACTTGTGTTAAGTTGGTAACTAACGGTACGGTTACATTGAGGAGGGGCAAAAAAAAAGCTGAAAGTTAAACAATAACTTGTCCATGGGAACCCAAGTTAAATTTATATCTTTAGAGGTAACCATGGGAACCCGCTCATCCAGCTCCGTAGTGCAAAAAAAAAAAGAAAAAAGGGATTCAGTGACGTAAAAACCTAGGCTACCAGAGTGGCCCGGGGCATGGTCCCACTAGCAACCGGATAGGATAGGAAAGAGTTTGTGTGGCAGTTGAGTGACCCAAATCCTGCCGTGCAGTACTGGTGATCCCATGGTCAGTATTTTACATGTATTACCCGAAAAAGTAAGGAGATCTTGGTTCCCCTCCTCCTCTCCTTAACACTGGGCATGCCGGTGCAAAGGAAGCTTCCCGCCAAAATCTTTTCAATCCGTTGGGGGCATGACCAACCCCAAAAGAGAGCGGGGTCGGCCATAGGCCCACTGGATAGAAGATTTTCAGTATTTTGCTTGCTGTTGTGCAATTATCTCAGTGGGTGGAGCCCTCCTTCAATCACCGAGTATATGGAGGGCGTCAGGATCACTGCTGACAGAAGTTGAGTTTATTCCAGAAAATGTGGCAGTTACTTTCTGCACTGTTGTTGCAACCACTACCATCAGATCATTTGTGATCTGATGGCTGGGAAGCACTCTGCCGTGATTTCAGGTGGGAGGTCTCTGTTTTTTTTTTTTTTTTGCCTTTCTCCTGTTTTCTCACCCCAGAAATTTGTAATGAACCTGTCAGCCCGCTGCCACTCAGTGTCACACACTGGATCGGCCACACTCCTATCCGACTGCTAATGGGACCACACCCCCGGGGTCACTTGCCCGAGCGGGCCAAAAAAAATATAAATAAATAAAAAATTATAAATAAAAAATATTTTAAAATTTTAATTTTTATTCTAAATTCGGTGAAGAATTTCGATGTGACCCTTAGGCAAAAGTTGTTCAGTTTATTTTTCGGCATAACATAGTTTTTTTTTCGTTTTTTTTTTTTTTTTTTTACTGGGACCTTCCCTGGTGCTTGCACGGGCTGGCCACCCGGGACCCGGGCGGCCCGGCTGGTAGCCTAGGTAAAAACCGTCTTGCATTCAGTCCTTCGGGACATCCGTTAAAATTGGAACTATACAGAGTATGAAGATTAGCATGGCCCCTGCGCAAAGGATGACACACATAAATCGAGAAATGGTCCTTTTTTTTTTCTTTTTTTTCTTTTTAAGTCTTAAATTCAGAGCACTTTCAATTCAATCAAGGACCCTAGGTTTTAGGGTTTAGATCGACACTCGACAGTCGATGAACCAAGCTAGCAAATCACAGTACCTAATGCAGATCTGATAGCCCAGCAGTTGAGACGACTGAGAGGAGCAAGGTAGTAGACAAGGCCCTCACACAGGTATATGTCACAAACTGCAGACCGATGTAGCAGAAGACAGTCTACCGTCTTCACCCGAATAGAACGCCCGGTCATTATCGCTGCATCTGGACTGAAAGTTGTGCCAAATACAGCTATAATGACGGGGCATTCTATTCGGGTGAAGACAGTCTAGTAAGCAGTTTGGTTTCAGAGGTTAGCTCATGCAGGCTAACTGAGGCAGGGGTGAGGGGTGGTATATCCTTCCTTCAGGAAGTAATCAATGCCGTCCACAAAAAAAAAAAAAAAAAAAAAAAAAAGCCGTCCACTCGGGCCTCTCGACCATAATGGGGCGGAGCATGTGTATGAGTTAACTATTGTAATCTGTATTTCTGACTTGCCGGTGGAATAGGAACCGGACTAATGCTCCCCAGAATGGAAAAGGAGCCAGAACCGTAAGGTTCTTTTTTTTGTAAAATAAATAAATAAATAAATAAATGAAAATCATCCAGTGTTAACCGGAGTTTACAACCAGCGTCCCTCTAAAAAAAAAAAAAAAAAAAAAAAGTCAATACCCAGACTCCCAGAGTAAACAGCAGTTAATACTGAGGGTTTAGGCTTTAGCGTCTAACTGAAGTTAATACTCAGGGTGTAGGGTTTAGGCTTTACTGTTGGACCCTTCCTTCTGCTTTCCGAATCATGCTGGTTTTTTTTTTTTTTTTTTTTTTTTTTTTCATTCTCGACGAACAACAGTTCGTACTTAGGGTTATCGACTTAACAGGCCCTGCTCTGCTGCCTTCCCGCCTCGCCGGCATTTTCACCCCTGTCAAACACTACACCAGGTGCTCTTACCCTGTTCCAAACTAACTACGGTAATTTTTTTTTCCTGGGCGCCTTGGCCTAGTTGGCGAAGAAGGAAACGGATGACGCACTGATTAGAATGCTGCTGCTGGCCTACTGGAACGCATAGCAGCACGTGGAAGGAGCGATGGGCAGCGGACGGGTCTTCTTACTTCTCTTTCTATTCGTTCCGTCTGTGGTTTCTTCTTTTTTTTTTGGAATGTTTCTGACAATGCCTCCAACTTACCTGACCTTTTGCATTATGCTGGACATCCCTTTTTAAAAGTTTTTTTCTTTTCTTCGAAATCCGCAATGCCCAGGTTTTGCATGAGAGGATTGCCAATCATTCAGCCAAGGCCGCCGCCAGACTCCCCACCCCTAAGAGCCGGCTATAGGGGGGTGGTGCCTTACTCCAAAACAATCATCTGGTAGTGGTGGAATGTGAAATGGCTTGTCCCACGCCACAGATCCCTTCGCTGCCGTCTTCACCCGCATAGAACGCTCGGTCATTATAGCTGCATTGTACGCATTGTTCAGCCCAGATGCAGTGATAATGACCGGGCGTTCTATTCGGGTGAAGACGGTAGTCACATGCCTGGACCAGCAGAACCATTGGGCCAGGTACCTCTGGCCCTGAAACCTGCTCCTCATTCAGGTTGACTGGCCACTGCCTCCGGTTCCAGCCGCCCACGTAGGAACTGAAATATCATCATCAGAACCCAGAATGATGACCTGATTTGGACTCGAACCCGGCACCTTCTTAGTGCAACTCTGGCACCAGAAAAACTATGCGCTGTACATCTAAAAGACTAAAACCCCTGGGCTATTGACAGGGAATGTGCTGTACATCTAAAAGACTAAAACCCCTGGGCCAAGTTTTCAATCCTTTTTTTTTAAATATTGATCGAGTTAGGGACAAAAACCAGAAAAGAAAGAGAAAAGTGTGTGCTTCTTGTTCGTTCACAGTCTCTTCGGTGGAATGCAAACAGGGGTCGTTAGGTTCCCCTTCTGGGGCTTTCGGGAATGGGCCGAAGGGGCCCGACGGGCTGGGGGAGGGGAATCCTGTTTTTTGTTGTTGTTGCAAAGAGGATCCTCTGATTTCTGGTGGACATATTTCCTGCTTTCTGCTGTTCTGCACAGATCACCAAGTTTTCAGCTAACAAGAAAGAACAGGCTGAGCAACTTTGCACCCTGTATGAAACAATTTTGACATTTTTGAAATCTCATGGTGGATTGCTGAATGTTGTGAAACCAGAATTCCTTCTGGGTGCAGGTAATAAACTTGATAATTCTACACCTTTTTGAAGGAGTTGGTCCTCCTTCCTTCCTTTCTTTGCTTTCCTTTCCTGTACTTCCTTTCTTTTCCTTTCCTTTCCTTCCTTCCATTCCCTCCCTCCCTCCCTCCCTTCCTTCTTTCCTTCCTTCTTTCCTTCCTTCCTTGCTTCCTTCTTTGCTTCCTTGCTTCCTTCCTTCCTTCCTTCCTTCCTTGCTTCCTTCCTTCCTCCCTTCTGTTCGTCTGTCTGTCCGCCCGCCCGCCCGTCCTTCCTTCCTTCCTTCCTTCCTTCCTTCCTTCCTTCCTTCCTTCCTTCCTTCCCTCCATCCATCCTTCTGTGTGTCCATCCATCCTTCC